TCGAACGTTAGACTTGGATGATTTTTGGGAAGTTTGATCGGGAGTGAACTTTTTAATATCAGAGTCGGATTCCGATTTCGAAAATTGGAGTAGGTCCGTAATGTCAATTATGGCCTGTGTGAAAAATTTGAGGTCAATCGGACTTGATTTGGTAGGTTTCGGCGTCGGAAGTAGACGTTTGAAGTTTAAAGTTCATTAGGCTTGAATCGATGTACAATTCGTATTTTTAGCATTGTTTGATGTGATTTAAAGGCTCTACTAAGTTTGTATGATGTTTTAAGACTTGTTGGTATGTTTGGTTGAGGACTCGGGGGGCCTCGGATTAATTTCGGGTGGTTAACGGATCAAGTTGAAGTTGAGAGATTGCTGAAGACTGGGCTCTGCTGGTGTAACCGCACCTGCGGAGCTTTGATCGCAAGTGCGAGTTTTAGAGAGGGGTGTGCCGGTGGCCACAGGTCCGAGGGAATTGCCTCACCTACATGACCGCAGATGCAGCAGGGGGACCGCAGATACTGAATTGGGCAAGAAAGCTGGGACCGCTGAAGCGACTTGGAGGCTCGCAAAAGCGGAGTGAGGGGACGCATGAGCGGAAGAAGCCGCAGATGCGGACGAGTGGTCGCTTCTGCGACGCCGCAGAAGCGATTAAGTTTCCACATAAGCGGAAGTGCTCGCAGAACACTGAAATAAAGGGTTCGCGATTTTGCTTCATTTTAAACATTTTGAGCTCGAGTTTTGGCGATTCTTGAGAGGAATTTCGAGGGGTTTCTTGAGGTAAGTCTTTTGTGCTCATTTTTTATCAATAATATTGTTTCCCCATTGATTTATCCACCTATTTTGTGTGTGTTTAAGGTGAAATTTGGGAGTTTGAGGCTAGGTATTTTAGGTGAAATCGATATCGAATGGGTGTTCGTATTTTGTGACTTTTACCCGATTTCGAGATGTGGGCCCGGGTCGACTTTTTGGGGCAATTTTTCGATTCTTTGCTAAAGTCGTAGTTTCATTATTTAAATTAGTTTCTTATAGTTATATTTATAGTATGAAATTATTTTGGCTAGATTCGAGCCGATCGGAGGTGAAAAATCGAGGGAAAGGCATTCTTAGTGACTGATTGAGTTTGGTTTGAGGTAAGTGACCTGCCTAACCTTGTGTGCTGGAAATCCCCTTATAATTTGGTACTGCTGTAACAATTTGTGATATGACGATTACGTACACGGGCTAAATATGGAAAATTCAGTTCTTGCTGAGTAGTTTTCTTTAATACCTTAACTAAGTTGCTCTAACATGTGTAGTCATCATGTTTAGCCTAATGTCGCATGCCTACGTGTCTTAACTCTTACTTGTAATTTGTGTAACATGCTTAGTTGAATTACCTGCTTCCTTAATCTTGTATTCAGTCTTTAACTATATGATTCCTTACTGTAAACTCGTTGTTCCATAGGTTATGTGTTGTGTATTTACTTTCGGGACTACGAGGCGGTACCTCGGGAGTACCTCTATTGCATATTTACTTTTGGGACTATGAGGCGGTACCTCGGGAGCTCCCATTGTTGTGTATTTAATTTTGGGACTACGAGGCGGTACCTTAGGAGTGACCCTACTGCATATTTACTTTTGGGACTACGAGACGGTACCTCGGGAGCTCCCCCTATTGTGCATTTACATTTGGGACTACGAGGCGGTACCTCGGGAGCGCCCATGTTGTTTACCTCTATTCGCTGTGTTGTTACTTTTCCATAGCTTCTCATTGTTTAAATTCCCCGTTATTTCATTATATTGTTATATCTTCTGTCTTGTTTCCTTTTATTCCAGTAGGGCCCTGACCTGACCTGACCTCGTCACTACTCTACCGAGGTTAGGCTTGGCACTTACTGGGTACCGTTGTGGTGTACTCATACTACTCTTCTGCATATTTTTTGTGCAGATCCAGGTTCTTCCTACCAGGCCATATACCAGTAAGTTGGACCGTACGTGGAGACTTCAAGGAATATCTGCCAGCGTCCGCAAACCTCGGAGTCCCCCTCTATCCTTAATGTTGCTTTCTTTATTTTTCTTTTAGACCCTGATGTATAGAGACACTTAACATTTTCTCTTTAGAGCTTGTGACTTATTTATACCGGATTTTGGGAGTTGTAATTATTTGAATCGCAGTTCTTGTTTATATTTCATATGTTGAGATTTGAGTTTAGTTTTATATTCAGTATTTCCGCAAGTTGTTAGGCTTACCTAGTCTTAGAGACTAGGTGCCATCACAACATCTTACGGAGGGAAATTGGGGTCGTGACAAGTTGGTATCAGAGCACTTGGTTCATAGGTGTTATGAGTCACAAGCAGGTTTAGTAGAGTCTCGCGGATTGGTTCGGAGACATCTATACTTATCTTCGGGAGGCTATGTAACTGTTAGGAAAAGCTTCACTTCTTTGATTCCTTATCGTGCGAGATTTTGACTTCGGATTCTAAAACTTCTGTCTTTCTATTCTCTCACAGATGGTGAGGACACGTACAACTGGATCAAATGACCAGACACTCGTGCCCTTTGCTAGAGCCGCGAAAGGTCGGGTCGGGGTAGAAGCCGAGGATGTCCATGTGGTGCAGCCAGAGCACCCGCACGAGCTGCTATAGAGGAGCCACCAGTAGCTCCAGTTCGGGGGTAGGCACCTGAGACGCTTGTTACTGCACCGGCCCTCCAGGAGACTCTCGCCCAATTTCTGAGCATGTTTAGCACCTTGTCTTAGGTAGGATTGATACCACTTGCTCCTGCCACATTTCAGGCTGGGGGAGGAGCACAGACTCCCGCTGCCCGTACCCCAGAGCAGCGGGTTCAGGTCGATTAGGTTCCAAAGATCATACCGAAACAGACGGTAGCTCCAGTTCAGCCCGAGGTTAGGGCAGCAGTTTCTGAGGAGGAGGAGGTCAGGCTCGAGAGGTACAAGAAGTATCACCCTCCTACTTTTAGTGGTTTGGCATCAGAGGATGCCCAGGGTTTTCTTGAGAAGTGCCACTGTATCCTCCGTACTATGGATATTGCGGAGACTAGTAGGGTTTCTTTCACTATGTTTCAGCTTATAGGAGTGGCTTATCAGTGGTGGCGAGCTTATGAGTTGGGTAGTCCGGCCGAGGCAGCTTCACTCACTTGGACTCAGTTCTCATATATGTTCTTGAGAGAGTATGTCCCTCAGAATCTCATAGATGCATGACGCGCAGAGTTTGAGCAGTTGCGTCAGGTTCCATGACCGTGTCAGAGTATGCGGTCCGATTCAGTGATTGGCTAGGCATGCACCAGCCTTGGTTGCTACTGTTCGAGAGCGGGTTCATCGATTTATTGAGGGGCTCAACCCCATAATCAGATTTAGCATGGCCCGAGAGTTGGAGATGGATATTGCGTACCAACAGGTAATGGGGATTACTAGGAGGTTGGGGGTTTGCTGAGAGAGAGAGAGAGAGAGAGAGCAGGGGGAGAGAGAGAGGCCAAGAGGTCTCAAGAGTCTGGCACTTATAGTGGTACTCGTGCCCCAGCGGGAGCTCGTCAGGGTAAGGGTTATATAGGTCGCCATGTTCATTCAGCACTTCCAGCCACCAGCGGTGCTCCGGCCACTCCTAGGCCCCAGGATCCCTATTATGCACCGGCAGTGTCTAGTGCACCTCCTGTACGGGGTGCTTTCAGTGGTCAGTCCAGCCGATCAGGCCCGATCCAGTCACAGCAGCCACGTCCTCCGAGAGCTTGTTTTGAGTATGGCGACACTTGCCATATTGTGAGGGATTTCCCCAGACTTAGGAGGGGTATACCTCCACAAATTTCTCAAGTACCGCGTGCTCCACCGGATCCTCAGGCTATGATTACAATACCAGCTACCATTCCACCTGCACCGCGAGCTAGGGGTTGAGGTCGAGCGGGTAGAGGTCGACCTAGAGGGGGAGGCCAGGCCAGATACTATTCTCTTCCTGCTAGGACAGAGGCAGTTGCATCAGATTTTGTTATCACATGTATTGTTCGGGTCTGTCATAGAGATACATCAGTCTTATTTGATCCAGGCTCCACTTATTCCTATGTGTCATCTTATTTTGCTCCCTATTTGGGTGTATCCCATGATTCTCTAAGTTCACATGTCTATGTGTCTACACCCGTGGGTGATTCTACTGTTGTTGACCGTGTGTATCAGTCGTGTTTGATTGTTCTTAGTGGTTTTGAGACCGTCGTTTGCCCACAACATACTTAGGTGCCAGTCCACTCACCTAAGCCAAGGCAACACCGTATTGCCAATGCCAATTCCTTAGCGCTAAACCGCCTTGTCTTAGCGCCTAGGTCTTTGCCCACACTGCCTTGTCAAGCTTCCGTCCAGCCTGTCTTGCCCCCTCAAGACCCTTTGCTTGCACACAACCCCACTCGTGTTTTTAGTGTAGTCTGACATACCTTAGCCTTGCAACTATTTGTTGCTATTAACAACGCCCCCATTGTCTTGCATGTTGATTGCCCCGCACATAGGCCAATGGCAAGGCCATCATGCCAAATCCTTGCCACAGCCGTGCCATATGCCGATCAGCTTTGTCAAGGGTCTAACAAACTACCCCAACCAGTTGAATTCGATGCCCTCGCCGAACAATCCCAACACATGCTCGCCATTTGCAAAGACATCACAAGTTCAGGGAAGGGCAAAATAAGGGTATCCGCATTCAGGCCTTGTTCCTTGGGTACTGAAGAACCTTTCGTGGAAACAAATTAGCATGCAAGAAACATGAAAAACTCGAAAAGACACAGAGTGCTCAATCAGAAATACTATCAGTCCCCATATGAGTTTTTCGTTCTAATGTGGACTCTCGCCAGGACTTGGTATTGTACTAAATTTGATGCGGAAATAACGCTGTGGTATTTACCCTACGATAACACCGAAGCTTTTGAGACATGCAGATTTTGACTAAATGCTAGCGACGAACAAATAAGAATAATACAAGAAATGTTTTTTAAAAAGAAAAAAGAAAAAGAGAGAAAGCAGCAACTCCCTTTCTTACAGGAAAACCAAGGAGCATATGACCCCCATTCAATTTTTATAAATAACTTGGGAGAATTTTTTACAAAGCAAAAACAGGCCTGCAACTTCCCCTTGCAAAATCATTTTAATGAAGTGAAGCCAAAACGAACTGCTACATCTGTTCACTCATATGCCCCTAAAGTTAGCTGGATCAAATTTCAGCCAACATGCTGTTCCTGGCAAAAACTTGGCCATTTACAACCTCATTATACACTGTCAATTACCGTCCTATGTACAGCTTGAGGAGACCTGCCAGTCTCCCATCCCACAAAGCTCTCTACATTGACTAACAACAACATATGCGACCAACTCGTTCCCGAGTCCTACATCTGGAGCCACTAGGCACTTGCACACGAAAGATCATATGCTTCATGTCTTCCAGGAAGTGCCAATATACAGATCTCCTGTTTCCTTGGATCTGTTCCAAGCCAGCAATATTATCAGCGGTTATTGTGCAACGTGGAATAACGAATCCATGCTTCTGTCCGAGCGGAGTGAAACCTTTCAGGCCATTCTTTAATTGCCCCTAAGAAGCCATGTATATTTTTTGAATACAAAACACACCTTGCTAATCCCACAATCACCCCCGACTAATTGCGGTTTTCAAGCTCTCTTCAGAGACTGTCCATGAAAGCAAATGTCCCCCAGAATCTCCGCTCAACAACTGTTTCAGATCACTAGTAAGGTGGAGGGAAGTTACAGGATGCTTGTGAAACTTTAGTACCTTGTGAAGGATCAACCTATACTCTGGTACTCTATCCCCGAGTCCTAACCCTCCAGTAGGATTGCCACTTGATTTACTTTGGGCACTCTCCTCACAAGAGCAATGTACCATTTTCCAAATTTTAATGGCTCCACTCTGGTGGCCTGAGATATACCACTTAGTTTCCAGCCAATCAGAGAATGTGCAACCAGCAAGTGAAAGGATAAAGTCTGATGGAAGCTGCGATGTGTTGATGACAGCAAGGCACTCCCCATTGATGCTCCAAACAGCAAGCATTACACCGGCAGCAGTAATAATTTCCCCAGTCAGGTCATTTACATAAATTGCTGAAACAGGAGCGGGTAACTCAGGAAGCTGCCTCACAAAAACCATGGAGCTCAAATCCCACAAGATAACAGTGCAGTCGTCCGATCCACTCACAATCATCATGTATGGCTGGCTAACTTGTAGGCATGTGATTTTGCCAGTATGAGCACAGAGAGCCTTCTCCAACTGCAAGCGCCTTACAGAACGGGGTGCCTCCTTACCGATCCTCCAAACACAAACCAATCCCTCATCAGCCCCTGTAACTAGAATATGACCGTCGTGACTAGCACTGGCACACTGTATCTGGTTCCCTCCATGAAGATTCTCATGAGTGGAGAGAAGCCTATCTTGATCATAGCTCATAAATCTCAAACTGCGGTCAGGATAACCCCAGGCAACATATTTAGTGAATGTTCTAGGCTTCAGCAAGGTGTTTGCCCCTGCCACAAGAATTTTGTCACCGGAAGTGACAATCTGAGATATAGAAGATGAGGTTTTACGTATCTCGTGTGGGACAAGATGCTGAGAGTGCTTCAATGGGTGAGGAGGAAGCTTCCGATTAGTTCGCCTCTTCACATGGGGCTTGAGGAATAATTGTTTTGGTGTTTGCCCAAAGTGATTAATTTGAGCAAGAATCGAGGCTTTCATTGCTGGATCACTAACAGAGTCGATGTCAACACTGCCTTCATACGTGTAGTGATAGAACACATTAACTGCTTCTTCAGCTGCCTGTCAACAAAATATTTACAGCTAAGTTTTCTGTTCAAGAAGAGAGGACAACAACAACATACCCAGTGTAGTCCCACAAGTGGGGCGTTCAAGATATTGGACTTTCAAAATCTTACAAATCATATCAAAAGGGGTAAAATAATATTGGACTTTCAAAATCTTACAAATCATGTGAGAAATGGTAAAAAGGATGCGGTAACTTATCCAGGAAAAGCAATCACTTGAAACAGAAAAACAAATAAATTGACAGTGAAAGAATTGATCAGTATTGCAAGCAACGTCATTTGTTTTTTTTTTTTTTAAAAAGTGAAATGTTATTTGGTGATTGCAAAGAACACAACGCAAATAAAAACTAAACTCTAACAAAAGCGTAGAAAGAACTCATTTTCACATACGGATGAAAGCGAGATGCAAGGACAGAAGAAAAGAATATCTAGACACTTACTTTCCCCCTCTGTTTGTGACCAAAGATCAGGTCTATCCAGTGATGCAGATTCTCTGAAACATAATCAGACTCCAGTGCTTCTCTATGCTTTTTAATAAACTCTCTAACACTGCCTTTAGCCCATGGAGGCAATACAACATCGCCAACCTGATGAATAACCATATGCTATTAGGAAACTATCAGGATTAACATGGCAGTTGTTCTTCTATTTAGACAAGCTAGTTCTCATAAAAGGAGGAATATCTAAATAGAATATGGAGAAGCAAGACAAACCTTCTCTCCTGACTGTTTCTCACCCAGGTCAAGATTGAACATATTCTCCAGGAACTCGGGCATGTAAAAGAACTCTGGAATTAATTCTTTAACATCTGAAGTATTGCCTTTCCCTGCAGCACTCAACCATGTGTCCTTTATACTATTGAAAAGACGATCAGCATGATCAAATTGACCACCCTGCAGCTTCTGATTCTCAGCACTAAAAGGTGGAAGACGTATGNGCAAGGGGGAAGACGTATGAGGTAGAAGAGGACAATTCCAGCACTAGAATAGTGAGAACCATAATGGAATTTGGGAACCTCGGGATCATCCCAGCTCTCATATCTGAAACATGGACAAATATTAAATATAACAATGGGGAAACCAAAAACGATCAAGAAAGGTTTGACTCCAACGAAATGCAAATTAAAATAAAATTTCCAATTGAACGGTAAAAGCACCAACCTTTTTCTGAACTCCTCCTCACCCTCCGTTGTTTGACAGCCCATTGGTTTATCAAGCCTTCGGAAAGTTCGAGGATCAGAGAAGTTCAGATTCTCACTCTCATAATCTGCTAAAATCCAGGGGAACACAGGATACTGGGTGAGATCACTGTATCCACGTCCTGCGAGCGTGTTGAGGTGCATGAGGTACTGGAAATTGCTAATTTCACCATTTTGCCATCTCTTAGAAAATGAGTTTGCCATAACCTTGAAAAGGCGGCTTCCTTCATTGCTATCTGCTTTTACCGACCCGGATATTGTCGTGTCCAACCTGTAAAATAGGCAATGACTTCCTTGAAGCTCTAATGATTGTCACTCTTAAAAGACAACAAAAGACAAGCATGTATGAAGAATGATTAAAGCAAAAGGATTACTCTATTGAGCACGAAGTAAATTGATTTAACCTGGCCTTCTTTAATCACAAAAGCAACCGACAAACCAGTACACCAAATCTATAGCAAACAAGCCACAACATTATAACGAATACCATTGTAGCATTCCGGAAAGGAACCATGTTGATTTGCAGCTACGCATAATTAATCTTTGGTGAACTTATTGACAAGATATCCAAGTAAGGTGGAACCAGCAATTCAAATGTTAGATGAGAGAAGCAAAAAACATGATCAAATTAGAGTTAGAACATACATGGAGTTTCTGGGAAGATTCATGGCCACCAAATTCTTGAAAACCTCTTCTCTCTCCTTCTTGTGGAAAACCAGAAGATCATTGCAGCCATCCATGCTAAAAATCTCAATCGCAACAGGGCGAAGTTGATAATCACGCTTCAAAATCTCATGAACACTGTCAAGCTTCCACATATGCCAAAGATGGGGCACATTACCACTAGTGAAGAGCTTTTCCTTTCCCCATGCACCACCATTATATGCCCATGCCCGTCCCCCAACATAGGCCTTTGTTGTTGCAGCCCAGGAGGAACTTGACTTTGAGTGGGAGTCCATGCTACAAGAGAGGTCCTTTTTTACACCCAAAGCCTGATCAATGACAGATAGATCATCTTCACATTCTTTTTCACATATGCACCCAGAGTCATCAATGTAAAAATTCTCAATGATGTACAATGATAATTCTCCAATCAGAAATATGCCATCATGTTTATCAAGACCAACCACTCTCTCGCAGTTATATTTGTACCTTATTCTCTCAGAAGGTTCCAAATATGGTCTAATCAAGTATTCACCATTATCACTTAGTTCCTTCTCCGGTTTGTCCTCCACCGTTCGTGTTTCATCAGCTATTAGAGAAGAAGATTGCCTGGGAGATCCAAGATCAGACTTCCGTTGAACACTTTCAGCTTTTTGAATGGAAACACTACTGGACTTGGGGCCAAGTTCAAGAGCAGAGCTGAGACTTGTTTCATTAATGCTACTATCATGGTCATCATTCCATCCAGTTCTACTAGAAGCTACATCTCTGACATCATCCGACTCTTTGAAAGTTGATCCATCATAAAGTTCACTACTGAAAGAGTCCTGTTGTGGATTATCATTCATGAGATTGAAAAAAATATCAGACTCAGCATCAGAGACATTAGTTTCATTCTCAGTCCTCTCCTTTGAATATTCTAGTCTTCCTAACTCAAAGTGCCCAGTCAGAACATTTTGTATAGTGTCAATGGTTAATTTGCACCGCTCAAGCTTCTTCCGCATCCTATATGGACCTTCAATGGGGCAAAGCTGCCACTCAGGTTCTTCACTCTGAGAGGACTTAGACAATGGGAAAATTCCTCGCTCATGGACAAGTTGTTGGAGATGAGTCTGCCACTCGCTCTCTGCATGAAGTACCCACCCATACTTATCCTGGCGAATAACTCTTAGTTCAGTAGCCACTGCATCACGAACCAACTCAAGAGCAATTCTTCGTTCATTTATTTGCTCCCAATGTCTTGCATCTAACTTTGAGATCTCCTTTAGTTTCCTACCCATTTCTCTCTTACGTCGACCATCCATGCCTTTAATCCTCACCCCAGGAAACTTAGCTGACCCAGTAATATATTGAACCCACATAATGGCAGCACACTGTTCCAACACTTTATTAACCTCATGTTCAGAACTATGAAGCCACTCAAAAAATGCAGGTAAGTTTCCAGTTAAGAGCTTGTCAAAACCACCATGAAGAACATCCAAAGGGGGTCCTTGATTTGGTTTAGAGACAAGAAAGTCTTCAAGTGCAGCCCTTCGGTGTACTAGGAGATACTTGAGAATATCAATAGCCATGTTCTGAGCATGACGCCTATGATCGCGAAGAAGAGAAATTAGATTTATGCAAAGACAGCAATTTAGATCAGTGTCAATGTTGCTGGGACAAAATATTATCCTTCTATTAGCAACTAGCAACTGTAACACAGTGCAAACATCAATTCCACTATCCTCCGAGGATGGGTTCAAGGACACTCTTTTCTTTGGCTCCACTTGTAAACCTAAAGAAGAAAGTAGTTCATCTTCTCCGATGGTTATCAAGAACATTGGGAGGAAAGAGAATAAAATCATTCTGTTGGTGTTCTTCAGAATCGCATGTACATAAGCATCGAGTTGCTTACTTCCTCTACCAATGGATAGGATCCCTTTTCCAGTTGGAGCAGCTTCTTCAACACGTCCATCCTTATTTGCCAACTGCAGCATAGATAACAGAAACTCCAGAGTCTTCAGTACACCAGCAGGCCGAGGAAAAGCACCCATATAAACTCTATCCACTATCAGCCAGCATAATGCATCCAAGTTAAGGGACCAACGGCCCTTATCCAACCTTTTCTCATCTTCCTCATCATCCCGCAAAAGACGCCTTTCAAGGAAATTCATTAGTCTACTGAGGCACAGTCCCTGAAATACCAAAACAGATTCAGCATCAACATACAAAGGAGCACTCTCCAAAATACCCTCGATGACAGGTACCGCCTTCATTTGTTCAGTTACCAAACCAGACAGAACTTCCGCCATAAAATCAAGAACAGCTGTAGCTCCAGCGGAGCATGGACCTCCACCATACCCACAGTCATCCACTTCAAGAAGCAAATTTGAACCAATCGTAAACATTGTGTTTGCAGCAGATTGTCCTTGAGAAGTGGATTTCATCTCAGGAGAGGAATCCAATTCACTGATAGATGAAGCAGACTCCATCAAGGGTGTTGATGCTAGGTGGACTTTTGATTCACTGTGAACAGGACCTCCCAACCAAGATGTCAATGCTACTACTGGGGATGTGGAAGAGGTATGCGGAGTTCTGGAGTAGGATCTCTCCGACAATATAGGAGATTCAAACATATTAAAGGAAGCTGAACTCTGCGAATCAGTTTGCTGGACAGGATCCACTGTGCTTTTCATATCACGGAAGTCGTTGCTGCTGGATGTTACAGCAGAAACATGGTCAACGACATCATTGTCTATTGTTGCAACAGCTTGTGCTTCTTCCTGAACTGCTTTGTTAAAATCTGGCTGGGATGAAGTAACATCAATATCTGCTGTACCTACATTGTTCGGCAGCACTGGCATATCTTCAGAACTTGTACTAGTCTGTGCCTGAGGAAAGCTTCCCATACTTATAGAGGTCTTGACTGACTGATCTTGTTCATGAGGCAAACTAGAGAAAGTATTATGGGAGCTGCAAGTTTCATCACCATCATTTACGTTCTTCTCTTCCACAGTCACAGATAGCTTTTTAGCCATTTTCAGAGCTTGTGCAGCCCTACATGTCAGAAAAGATTAAAAAAGATAAGAAGCAAGCAAAGAATCACTTCAATATAGCCAAATATAAATAACTTTAAGCATTCAGGGAAGAAAATTTGGAATGAACCTGACACAAGAAAAATAAAGGTCAATGCAACTTTCAAGAAATTCTGCTTTTCGGCAAACAGCTGAGAAAGGAAGACACATTTTTGCAAGATCAACCATGAATCTAAGGACAGCAGTAGCAGCAGCAGGTGCCGAAGCCTCGCCCCCCATAAGCCGTGCAGCATAAGTTTTGTGCATAAGAGCTTCACCTTGCAGTTCTCCAGCTATGTCTGTATTGTCTTCTGCCAGCTCTGCTACAACTCCAGCACTGATCTGGGAAAGATTACCAGTTTGATGGGCAAGCATTGAATGCATAGACAACCTATCAAAAGTTGACTTCGCCATAGCAATCACAGACTCCAACAGCTCGGTAAATTTCAAATCTCCATAGATGCCATCACTTGGCATCAGGGCATGAAAATCTAGCATCCGAACTTCAGGCAGTCTAGGGTATACAGGCTTGCCAAAAAGAAGACAAAAGAGAATATAGTATATATCAGGGGAATCATAGAAACTTGGAAGCACTCTTGCCAAACCTTGATAGCCTCCACTTGAGCGAAATTTAAGTGCAAATGTTGGAGAAGACGCAAGGCACACGCCAAGAAGAGTCATGACCCACCTCATGCTTGTAGGATGTACAGCTTCATCAAGAAAATAAGTTATTAATTTGGATGAAACAATTTTGTGCCACTGCTCAAGCAAATCCTCTGATTTTATCGTCACTTGCAGATCAATCAGCATTTCAAGCAACATGTTCCTTACAATAACATGCTTCCCCATAGACTCTCTCATAATTTGATGTCGTGATGTTAACTCTGGTGGATCAAATGTCATGATAACAAATCTAACCACTTGCTCCAATTCAGAAGGTAAGAATCCATCTTCCAATATTACACCTAACAATACAACTAATTTTTCTAATACAGGTACTTCCACATCACCTCTTTGTAAAGTTACAAGTAAATGTTGAACAAGGTTAATTCTGCGCAGAATTGTCAGATTATGATTCCTATACCAATGCATTGAAACCAGATGCTCAAGAAAGCCCAGTAAAGCAATCTGTAT